TTTGCATTTTTATGTAATCAAATTTTTTATGACTCCTAAATTTTGTATTACTATGCTCTATTGAAGTTATAAAATAATGCTCCCAGGGCTACTGCAGTATTTTAATGTTTTTTCTTACATTCAAATTTTTGATCCATTTAGAATACATCTTATCATACCAGGATGTGAGGTACAGATTCAACTTAAATTTTTTTACAGCTAGCTTCCTGATTATCCTAACACCATACATACACTGAATAAACCCAATGCCTCATATTATTTCTTAATCCTTATTGTGTTAATCAAATAGGGCTTCAGCTATCCTTTGGTCTTAAGACTCTGAGTAATATATGAGGTCTGTCTGGAAAAAGTCCAGCCATTGTTAATATAATAAGAACGATTTATGCAACATCAATGTAACCTGGCAGCCAAGGAAAGTGGACTGGAATGTGCATGTGTGAACAATGATGACTTCACTGTACTAGTCAGTGGGGGTGGTAGATGCCGTTGAGTGAGCATGTGTACTGTGTAGCCATCACATCCAAATTGACTGAGTGAGCAATATATCTGCATCAAATTTTGTGTTAAGCTTCAACTTCCTCCACAGAAACTATTTGAATAATTCAGGAGGCTTATAGGAACAATGCAATGAATGCAGCACAAATAAAAGTGTGGCACAAATGCTTCAAAAATGGTTGAAAATCTCCTGGCTGGTGTAGCTCAGTGGATTGAGCGCGGGCCTGTGAACCAAAGGATCGCGGTTTGATTCCCAGTCAGGGCACATGCCTGGGTTGCAGGCCATTTTCCAGCAGGGGCCAGTTCCCAGCAGGGGATGCATGAGAGGCAACCATAAATTGATATTTCCCTCCCTCTCTCCTTCCCTTACCTTCTAAATGTAAATAAATAAATATTTTTTAAAAAATGGTTGAGAATCTGTTGAAAGTGATCCACATTCTGGAAGACCTAAAACAATCAGAACACCTGAGAATGTTGAACTGCAATCAACAAAGATCAGCAACTGGCAGTACAAGAACCAGAAGTTAATCTGGGGGTTCTAAAAACTACTGTGCTGGAGATTTTGATGCAGGATCTTGGTATGAAACGTTGTGGCAAAATTCATTCTATGGTTTCTGCTACCAGAGCAGAAGGAACATTGTGCTGCAGTTGGTAATGACTTGATTCAAACTGCTACCAATGAGCCAGATTTCCTCAAGAAGGTCATAACCAGAGATGAATCATGGATCTTAAGGCTTCAGAAAAGAAGGCCCAATCATACCAATGGAAGTTGACTGGTTCTCCACATCTGAAGAAGGCACAGCAAAGTTGCAGCAAGATCAAGACTATGTTAACTGTGTTTTTTATCAGGAAGGTCTTGTCCATCATGAATATACCCCTCCAGGCCAAACAATTAATAAGGAGTACTATCTCAATGTTCTTCATCTACTGAGAGATGTAATATGACAAAAAATGGCCGCAGCTATGAGCAACTGTTGATTGTCAGCTTCGTCACAACATGCCCACTCATCCATCTCATCTCATGCAGAATTTTTTGGTGAAACATCAAGTCACTCAGGTGACTTAGCCCCTCTACAGGCCAGATTTGGTGTCCTGTGTCTTCTGGCTTTTCTCAAAATTAAAATCACCTTTGAAACAGAAGAGATTTCAGACTGTTGATGAGATTTAGGAAAATATGACATGGCAGCTGATGGCGATTCCAACGAAGAATTTTGCAGTGTCTTTAACAGTGGAAGAGATACAGGGAGAACAGTATGAGGTCTCCAGGTGCCTACTTTGAAGGAGACTGAGTCTTCACTGTACTATGTACAATGTTTCTTGTATCTTCTTCAATAAATGTCACTGTTTTTCATATTACATGCCTGAATACATGGCTGGATACTTTCTAGACAAACCATTTTTTATATATATATATATAAAACTTTAGTTTTACCCTAGTGATCCTGCCCACTCATATATAACTCTCCTAAATTAAAAAAAAAAACTTCACCATTTGTCTTTTTAAGGGCTTTAAAAAAAGCATTTTGAAACAGAAAAATATAATCATGTTTTGAAACAATTCAAGTAATTACATTATAAAGTCCTAACTTTCTCTGCAGTCTTTCTCTCCCAAAAGCAATGGTTTGCACTTGGTAGAAGGAAGCAGCCACATCTCACTGAATGGCTGTATAGCGACCTAGAAAAGGAAAAACCTTAAAGTTGCTCACATTAAAATTATATACTCTTTTACCTCCCCCATCCTTCTCCCTCTGCTAATCACCATACTGTTGTCTATGTAATATATATATATATGTATATACATATATACATATATGTATGTATATATATATATATATATTCTATATTCTTTTGAATTAGTGTTTTGGGTTTTTTCAGATATTAATATATCTCCAGAAGTAGAACTGCTGGTTCATAAAGCAGTTCCATTTTTAATTTTTGAGGAAACTCCATACTGTTTTCCACATGGCTATACCAATCTGCATTCCCACCAGCAGTTAACATCCTCACCAATATTTGTTTTTTGTTGATTTAATGATGATAGCCATTCTGATCGGTATGAGGTGGTATCTCATTGTGGTTCTAATTTACATTTGTCTGATGATTAATGATGCTGAGAATCTTTTCATATGTCTATTGGCCATCCATATGTCTTCTTTGTAGAAGTATCTATTCAGGTCCTTTGCCCATTTTTAAATTTGATTGTTTGGTTTTTTTGGTATTGAGTTTTATAAATTTTGGATATTAACCCCTTATCAGAAGTATCATTGGCAAATATGTTCTCCCATTCAGTGGGTGGTCTTTTCATTTTGTTGATGGTTTCCTTGGCTGTGCAAAACCTTTTGAAGTCTGTAGGGAAGGCAGTTGAGAAGGGAAGATGGACATAAAGTGAAGAGTAAGAAGCTGATATTCAAGAGCACAAGTGGTAATCCACAGGGTGGATTCATTTCAGCTCTTACTGACTCCAACATGCATGAAATAGGTGTCCTTCAGGAGATGTTGGCACCCTTCATCACGGAGGTAAACACATCCCTGGCCCAGGGAAAAGGACAGAGGGCAAAGTGAAGCAGCTGCAGGCCTTGCTGCTGTTCCATGCCAGGGTGAGCCAGTAAACATAAAAAATGTATAAGCTAGAAAAGCCTGCTCCAATCTTTCTGCTGAAAAAAAGAAAGGTGGCTGTTTTACCTCTAACCTACAAATCTCATACTAAATTGTCTTTTGTGGCCACTATAACTGGAAATATACAAAGAAGGAAATTCTGAGAAGTACAGTTCATTCAAGACAAGCTGATACATTACAAAACCATCACAGTCCACCCCTTGTCAACTGGCACCCATACACACCTCTTTAAACCGTATTTAATTCCCAAATGGAGATAATAACAAAGTCATGCTTTTGCCTAGCATAACTGTCTTCTATACAACAAACATGCTAACTCTTTCCTTAAAAGAAGATAAAAATTCTCTAGTGTTGTCTGGGTGATGTTCATTATTCTTCAAACCAAGTCACACTCCCCTTTGGTATCTTGTAACTTACATATGGAGATATAAAGTTAACTAATATTACCATGTCATATTAGATGATAGAAGAAGAGGACTGAAAAAAATATTTGGTTTAATATATACACAAACATTCATATAGAAAGGGAAATGGACTAGTTTATATCATAACTATTACAGTGCTCATTTCTTTAACTGATCACTTGCTCTAGGTGGTATTTATAACTGCCTTTTCCCACTACCACTGCATATCCCCTTAGCCCTCAGCAAGTACCTCTGCTATTTGTTGTTCTTTATCTGGGAGGGTGGCCCAAACTTTCATTCCTCAAGAATCTGGGCCATCATCAGAGCTGCCTGAAGTGGGTTGTTAGTTTTCTATTAATTTTAATCATAGGACATGGGAGTATAGCATTCCAAGTATACTCTTCATTACCCACATTATATAGTAGCAACATAATTTCCCCCGTTAGGCTCAATCTACCAATAATTCCCCTTCTTTGCCTATTAGTTTACAAAGTGGCCAGAAAAAGAAAGTCTCAATGGAATCATTGTTGTGTCCCCAGATGGAAGCATGTTCTAGGATCCGCAGAAACTAAAGTTGCACAGGCAGGAAGCAAAAATTTTGCTAGTGGGTCGCTAGGAATAATTGTATGTGGAACCACTCTCATTTCTAGTTTCCTGACCCATGTATCCTATTATAGGGGAAATAGCACCATAAATCAAAAACTAATTTAACATATACAGCCTCCTAAAGGGCACTGAACCAACTCTAGAAGACTCTATATGAAAGTACCTTGCTGGTGCTGTGAGTCTTCAAAAGGCCATTCCTCTGTATTATTAAGCCAGCTAGCTGCTTCAGGATGACAGAAAACATAAGGCCAGTGAAATTGTGAGCATGAGCCCACTGCTATACTTCATATGCTGTGGAGTTCCTTAGTAAGAAATGGTGCTGTGTAAAATACCATGATGGTGGAAAAAGCATTCTATTAAGTCCATGGATAGTGGCTTTGGCAGAAACACTAGGAGCAATGAAGGCAAATTCATATCCACAGCAAATGTCTGTCTATTCCACTGAGAACACAGTACTACCTTTTCCATGATGAAGTAGTCCAATGTAATTAACCTGCCAGCAGGTAGATAGCTGGTCCCCTTCAGGAATGTTGTCACAGAGAAGTTTCCGTGCTATGCTCAAATCCACCTTAGTGAGTGGAAGTCCATGTTGCTGAGCCAATGCATAACCTCCACCCCTAGTACCATGTATCCTTTGTTCACGAACCATTATGTATCTCCCTACTTCTCTGACTAAACCTTGACCAATGAATTTGGTACACAGAAACAGAATTGTAAGGATAGGTCCTCAGAATTGGTTCTGGGGTACCTGGAGTTGGTTCTCTAATTTGCTTTTGTAATATGTTTCTACATTTATATTTAAAATATTGAAAGTACCTATACAAAGCTGCATAAACTTTTTGAAGACAAACACAAACAAGGGTATCAGGTTATACTTACTAAGGACTGAATCAACATGTTAAGACAACGTTTCTGAATCTCAGGAGGTACATTTGCAAAGCTTCTCTCAGACCAAAACCTTGCAAAATGTTTTACAACCCACCTGTTATAAATCAAAGAATCACAAGTTAGAGAAATAAAAATATTCATATTATAATATTTCATTATAATATTTCATAATATTTGCAATTTAAATTTGTACATATATATTTTTTGACTAACCCTTATAGTTAACTTTGTTAGCTCTATAATAAACAAGTATGCTCTCTTTTTGGTAAACATATATTTTAAATACACTTTGGGTTAATGTACATGAATTTTAACATAAGTAACAATGTTTAAGCTAACATAATGTTGATCCCAAGCAGCTTGAGTAATACTAAATCAATACTTCTTTCAATTGTTACAACTAGTTAAGTATTACACTACATATATTGTGCCTGAGAAAATCAGCCAAGTCTAAAATTTCCCAGAAAATGAAGAGAATGAAAGAACAAAGTCCCTAAATTAACAGTATCAGCACTACTTCAGACCACTTACTTCATGCAGTCAGCAAAAAGACTTTCCACTCCAATTGAATGAGCAATAATCAGGCATTCTAGTATAGATGTCAATCTTCTGGGAACAGGCTGGGATTGATAGAAAACATTATATTTATTCTTATTCAACCTACAGAAGCTGAAAGTATTTGGTTCATATAAATGATCTGACCTATGTACCTAAATTGCAGAATAAATATATACAATTCAAAATGTACTATTCTTTTAAAGAAAGTATCACTAATAACTTCTAGTTTTACAGAATAGCATTTCAGCTCTTTTAGCTGCCAGAATGCACACAAGTTCTAATCTAATTTCATGTAGCTTAAATTTTCTAAAAAGTAAAAGTGGTACAATAATTTCTAGCACCCCACACTGCAAAACAATCATTTGATCTAATCTGCATTCTAAAGTAAAACCTTAAGTACACATGTAATAGAAGGTCCGATACCTCGGATAAAATGACAGAATTTAATTACATCGTAATTATATAACATATTTTCAAAGCACATATACAGAAGTAATGACCTAAAATAACAAATAAAATGTAGACACCAGTAGTGAAAACAACTCATGGCTCTTGGTGTTGAGCCTCTGTGCTACATGTTGCCCAGGCCACATATTTTCAGTTTTGGGACTATGTTCCTAAGCACATCTATTGCCCATAAGGGTGAACAGAATTAAACTTCTGTTTGTACACATTAATTAACTGTAATTTAGGGTTTGTTCACTTAATAAATACCAGCAATCCATCAATTTGTGTATACAGTCCCTACATGCGTTCTACTGAAGATTCCCCTATCTCAGAGAAGAGCAAAAGTTTCTTCAGAAATGTCTCCAGCAGAGTCCTAATGACATCAGTGATTTGTAACTTTTTTAAATTATGAATTGCTATTAATTTGATTGTCTAATACTCTTCTCCTTAAAGTACTATATTAGTGTTAAAAATTTAATATAAATAGCTTGCATTGCATATTAACAATTGAGTTGTTCCCTTTGGATAACTGGAATGTACACTGTCTTAAAATCAAGAATGACTATCTCAATATAGATTTTAAAGTGATAATTCTATCAATTTAAATAAGTTGGCTTTCTGACCCACTTCAGATGAGAGTATTAAACTAGTATGAAGCACTGTGGAAAGCAGTAGGGAGATACCTGAAGAATTTAAAAATGGATCTGTCTTTCAACTCAGCTATTCCACTTCTGGGAATATATCCAAAGGAACCCAGACCACTAATTGGAAAGAATATAACCACATCTATATTCACTGAGGCATTATTTACAAGCAGCCCAAGTGTCCGTCAGTAGATGATTGGATAACACAACTATGGGACATTTACACAATGGTATATTACTCGCCCATAAAGAAGGAAAAAATTTTACTCTTTCAGACAGTATGAATGGACCTGGAGAACATTATGCTAAGTGAAACAAGGCAGTCAGAGAAAGACAAATACCACATGATTTCACGCATATGTGCAATCAAATGAACAAACTGAACAAAGAAGGAAAATGGGGACCAACTCATAGATGGAGAGCAGGATGTCAGCTTGGGGGCATGGATGTTAGGGAGTAGAGGGATTGAGCAAAAAGGAAAAAGGACTCATGGACATGGACAACAGCATGGTAATTGCTGGGCGGGGGTATAAGGGGACTAAATGGTAATGGGAAAAATATATAATAAAGACTAAATTTTTTTAAAAATTAGTGTGAGGGGGCAGATTATTGGTACACACATACTTGACAACGTAAAAGCTCCCAGAAGTCTAAAAAATTGTTAAAGTAAACACAAGAATTAAAAAGTCCAGAAATCTAATTTTAAGAATGGCCAGCTCTCTACAATAAAGTCTACTAACTGATACACAACTTAAAAATAATTTCTATAAAATTATTAAAATACAAAATAATTTACTGCTTAAAGCAGAGACTAGCAAACTAAACTTGTGGGCCAAACCTAGCCTATCTCTATTTTTGTGAATGAAGTTTTATTTGAACACTGCTGTGCTGTTTCATTCACATAGTGTCTATAGCTGCTAACACTCTACAACAGCAGAACTGAATAATTATGACAGAGACCATACCCACAAAGTCTGGAACATTTAGCGTTTTACAGAAATGCTAAATCTGGCATTTTACAGAAAATGTTTACTGACCTCTGGCTTAAAGGGTTAATTTTAACTTACTGAGAAGTTTACTTATATGAAAGTGCTGATTCCCAAGTGTTTTTGTAATAGGATAACTGACATTTTGTTATTTTCAAAACCTGCATGTAGAATGTAAAAAGGCATATATTTAAATCATTACCTAAAAAAATTTTTAATTACTGGCCAAAAAATATAAATCCCATTATAATCCTATAAATAAAGTCCAAAAAATCATGTAAAAGCAAGATTATAAAATTAATAAAATGACTGAAGGTAGCTTGCCATGAGTTCCTGGGCCAGTTACCCATCCTATTATACCCACATGTGTATTACTAAGGAGTGTGCTATTAAAGGTTTACTGTATTTAAGTTGCTGTCATGAAGCTGCATAACTGAGATCTGGAAAGTAAAATTATATATCAAAGATGGAATAGGGACACATGGTATAGGGACTAGAGCATGGTCTGGTCACCTGCTCCTGCATTTTCTAACTCCTGTGGAAGAGGACAATAGATGGCTGTGGTCACCTTACGTAACTAACCAGGGACCAACATGGTAGTAAGGAGATGTCCTTGACTGCTCTAATTCCAATGTTGGTGGCCTTTGCTGATGTGGTGGCTCTTTTACAGACAGACCGAAGTTCACCCTGGTCTCTCAGTAGACAAAGATTCTTCTAGTGGTTCATGATGCATAATGACTCCCCAGGTGGGACACAGTGTCACTTGGCCCTGTATCAGTGTCCTCTAATTTTCATGAACTACTGAGGTCCCCCTCCTCCCCTATGCACTGTGTGTACCAGGTGTACTGTGAACTACCCATACTTTCTTCTATTTATGACAATAACTACTGCCCCTAACCACCAGGCAAGTGCTTACGGCAAGTCTCCTTTTCCCTTTAGAAATCTCCACACTCAAGTTACTCTCATTGGTTTCTGAGGCATATTCCAGGCTCTCCCAAGAAATCTCTTATCACTTTTTTTTTCTTTAATAGCTCTGGAGTGAGCTGGTTTTACAAATACAGTAGAAGTACCTCTGGGGCCTGAGAAGGTATTATCTCCTCATTACAGATAGCCTCTGCCTTTAATCTTTATTTGGGTTATTCTTGTATCTCCCTCCTAACTCAGTTGGCTACAAAGATGGTAGAAGCAGATGAAAGAGAAGAAAAATCTTTCACCAGAATTCTTTACTTTCTACAAAGCTGAGGATACCACCACCAGACTGCCCTCCTTCTTCTAGATCCCTTATCTATAGAGGGTAGAATAAATACTTGAGTAAAGGTAGCTGAGAAGTTTCCCTGTTTCTTAGTAAACCTTAGAGGGTGGTGGTGGGGGTGGTGCAGGACCAATGGTCTCTGTTTTAGTGCATGGGGTGCTTCTTTGTCTACAACCTATAGAGAGCTAGGTAAAGTCTACTCAACACAAAAAAGCTAAATTCAAGTATTATTGAAATTATTAAAATTACCAAATTATAATTCATACAATGTATATTGTGACCTCAAGAACCCAATAGGAGGGGACTATTGATATAAACAATTATTTGTCTTTTGTTGATTATAATAAAAAGTAATATGTATCATTGTAGAAACTCTAGAAAATGTGGAAAAGCATAAATAAGAAAATAAAATAATAACCTATAGTCATAGAGTAAATTAAAACAATAAAGAATCTAAAAACAATGTACAAAATGGCATCTATACAAATATATGGCATGGAACTTTCTTTAGACAATAATATAAAAGTTAGTATTTATATTCCACCTGGGTAGACAGGAAGAAGAGATACATATTCCACCCCAAGTACATGGTATAAAGAGAGGTGGTAGAAAAAGGAATATAATTTCAGGGAAAAGAACCAATGAAATACTATGATAAATGCACTTTGATAAATGGAGAAGGTAACCTTGGTTCCCGATTTCCTTTCTCTTAGTTCCAAACCCTGAGTCCTAGCTGTACACTCCACCTTTGAAGTTATAGAGGAAACTCCTATATCCTTTTAATAACCTCCTACATCAATTTCATATAATTCAAGATGATACTAATTTGTTTTTATAAGTACAGCACATGAGTGTTTCTCAACTTAAGTCCTCATTAGTTAAATTAATTTAATATTCCAAAGATTTAAAGAACTACTTACTATCAGAGTTAAAGTGAGTAATAATGGGTGACTTTAAGCAGTGGGTAGATTTTTGAGATTCAATAATTACCTTCTGAAAGAAATTACAGTAATCTCTTCTTAAAATATAGATGGCTACTTCTTTTAATCCTTCTAGTCCATACATATCAGCCACATTGAGTATTTTACTAAAATAAAACAATTATGGTATTAATGCTCCAATTTAAAAACCAAGGCATAGTACACAGTAATTTCCTAATAATACATAGTCTGTTTAGAAAAAAGAAAAATTTGAATTATTTTAATTTTTAACTCTCTGCCCTACATAATAAATAATCTTTAAGGATTATAAAAAGGCCAAAAGTTGAAAGCTGTCACATGATTTGAATAGTGGAGAATAACAAGAAGAAAATGTTTTAATCATATTCCCCTCAGATACACACTCACTCTCTTTCTATAGATATATACACACACACACACACACACACACACACACACACCCCAAAGTCCAGGGCACTACTTTGAAGGCTGTTTAAAGTTAAGAAACTCTTTCCAACAAATTTGTATGATGAAAGATTGGGAGGAGGGCAATTAACTGATGCTTATCAGATTGAAAATGTTTACAAATGACCCTAAGATTAGAGACAGCATCCAATTATTCTGCAGGTTTCCACTGCTTCTTTCACTTGGCACCCATACATACTTTAGGTAACTTAGAAAGCCTACAAACCTTGAGAGCATGATAAAATTCATCTAGGTTTCCAGGGGAAACTTCAATACTTAATCACTGTGATTCACGATATTTTCTTCCCCAAATTATATTTATTCAGTTTGCAATTCAAAGAACCAATGAATATTTAAAATTAAAAGAACAGCTTTTCATTTTGATGTAAGACTAACAATTAAAGAGCATCCAGAAAATTACAAGAGCAGGATTTGCTCTCCAATTGAAATCCTCTCCAATAGGATTTCAGCAATTTAAGTGACTTTCCACTTTAGAATCATATCATTGTTGATCTTTAGTATGCTTATATTTTTAAATTAATTTTAAGGTTTTTCTTTTGCTGTTTAAAAGAGGCAGCCTAAAGTTTAAAAATAAAGTAGTAAAATAATTGTTCAAAATTTGATAAAGGTCCACTCAGTTTTATAAAATCCTCTCACTTATTTTCTAAAATACAAGGTTTTCCTAACATAAATCTAATAAAGACTTTTCTTAATTTTATTACTGTGAGTTGCTAGAATATCTTTACTTCTAAAAACAGTGACAGTTTTTAGATACAGTACTCCCAAATGTACACAAGATATGGCAAAAGGGGTAATAAAAGTAAAGTTTCTACTTCACTGACCCTTTGAAACATAGATCAACAAAGCAGATGTCAAAAATATTAATAGTTTTATATTTAAAATCATTAAAAATTAATACATACCCAACATTAGCTTTGTCTGGAAAGTCCAAAGTTCCTCCATATATAAAATGCATCATAACATTCATTTCTACATGGTTTATACTGAAAAAAATAAAAAGAAAACTCAAATCCAGAAATAATTAAGGCTTAACTGGTATTTACAATACATTATATTGTCCCATAAACTTTTAGCCAAGATAAAGTTTTAATCTCATTTTTATCTGAAGGATATATTCTTCTAATACTATGCATGCAGGTATGCCATTAATTAATTAATTAATTAATTTTTAGGTATGCCATTAATTTAATATGAAGTATGATTGCAGCTATGACTTTTTATATACAACATGAAATGTTATTTGTACATTACCACATAATGACTACTTACTGAGCATCTTGTATAAGTTAGAAAGGACCTTAGAAGTCCAGCTACCTCTGTCTCACTAAGAAATCCTCTCCTCAGCATCTCTGACAAATAATGGCTTCTGGTCTTGCTTAAATCCTCAGATGATATCTCTACTCACTAGAAAGATTCTTGTTAGGTTTGTACAGATTTCTTGGTTAGTAATATTTATCCAGTGGTTCTAGCTTGACCAACATCATTATATCTTTATGTGCTACTGACTACTGGGTCTCAAGCTCTGAATTCATAACCACCTTCCTTTTCCCCGCATCTCCCAACATCCCAAACTGGTCTTATTTCTTTTATTCCTATTTGGTTCATTAAGAGACTTCCTGCTTCTTGTCCTGCCCTCTGTATCTGTATCAAGTGGAGCGAATCGTCTGGCTCTTGGACAACCACCACTGGTTGTTGGTGAAACTTGAGAGAAGTAATTTGGTTCCTTTTATCCTTTCTTCTCTGCTGAAGCAATTGGAAGAGGTGACGGGGAAAAAGTGCTTCTGCTATCCAAATTCAGACCTCCTTTTAAGTGGCCTGTCTTAAAAGGGAAATAGTTAATCAAATCAACTCCGGCTCTTGCATTAAAGCACATTTTACTGCTTTGACAGCTTTGATCAATAATAAAGAAAATGTTTTCTTATTTCATCTGATTCTTTTGTTTTATTTTGAAGAGGAAGAAAGTATATTACTACTTATTGGGCCCCCTCATAACTCTAACAATATCTAGGTTACTACCTAGTTGCCTAAATCAGAGCCTGAGGTTCATCTAGATCCTCTCCCTCATTATATTCCATCATTTATACCCTCAAAAATTTCTTGAGTTCAGCCTCTGTTGTCTATTTCCCCTCTCACTGCCCTGGTTTAACCTCTCATTTTTCTCTCATTTGTACTATGACAGTATCCTTTCATATGGGTTTCCTGCCTAAAATAATCTCCCTGCATCTCATTTCCCACATCACTATTAGAGTGAGTTCACTAAAATACAACTGTGATATAGTCCTCCACTTTGAAAACCCTTCAACAATTCTCCATAGTCTACAGAAAAAACAGTCCAAAATTCCTTAGCTTGGTTTACAGTGTTCGTTATCCTCTGACCTCTGGCTTTCCCTCTCTGGTAGCTGTTCCAAGTGAATTACTAATTTCCTATACTACCAATAGTTTCTTATGCATCCATGCCTTAGCAACATACTTTTCCCTTGGCTTACAATGCTCTACCTCTCTACTTACTTCATATTTCATACACAAGACATGCAATTCTTTACCTCTGATTGTTTCCTTAATGCCCCTAAGGCAAAAAAAATCACTAACTGTTATACACAGTAATAACTAACATCTATATAGAGCACTTATTTTGAGCCAGTACTGAGCTAATAAGCATTCTGAATGCCATTAGCATATTTAATCATCCTAACAACTAAACAGTAGGCACCATTATTAGTCTCATTTTATAGATTAAAAAAAGACTAAATTAAGTAACTTGCTCCAAGTCAAATTGCTAGTGACGCACTGGAATTTAAATCCAGGCAGACTGACTCCAAAACTTGCGTCTAAAGAAGTATGCTATATATACCTCCATTATCACATTTATCAAACTGACTTATAATATCTTTGTTTACATATTTGTATCTCCTTCTAGACTGAGTTCTGTGAGGGAAGGATCTACATCATAGTTATCATTGCATCTCTAGCACCAGTGGAATGTCAGCATTGATGCACTATTTCCAGGATGAAAAGATTTTCCATTTCCCACATAATACTAGAGCTATGTAGTGGAATTAGAGTGTGGGCATTGTTGATAAGACCCCCATAGTTTGCTAAGCATTGTGCCAAAATATCTGCTAAAAGAACAAAAGGAGGAAGGCAAGAAGAAAAGAAATGGAATCCCATAGGGCAGTACTCAAAAAGGTGTTTGCTTTGCGTTTATGGCCTTAAATAATACATGCTGAATAAATATTTGATGAATGTTTAAATAAATGGCTTATTAGGGCACTTACAGCATCTTATCAAACCTTCAGAGGACAACACTGAGTTAAAAATATATAAATACTTTTCAATTAATTTTATAAATATAAACTGGCCCTTACTATGGCTTCTGGTTTCCACTAATTCAAAACTCCAAGCTTTACAAGCGAAATAATATAGCCAAAGACACTGAAATTGAGAACAGGCTAACACTGACCAGATGGGAGAGGGGAGGGAGTTTCAGGGGAAAAGAGTGAAAGGTTTGCAGGAACAATTATAAAGGACACATGGACAATATGGGGGGGTGTGGAAATGAGAGGGAGGTGGGGAGGGATGGGATGTTGGGCTGGGGTGAGGGAAAAAGGCAAAAGGTAGAAAACTATACTTGAACAACAATTAAAAAATCAACAAACTAAATAAACTTTTAAAAAATAAACTTCAGAAAAAACAAAACAAGCTTTACTTGAAGTTTTTACTTTACACAGTTTAAATGCAAAACGTTAAAGCACTATTTTCATTTATAAACATAATCAGAATAAAAGCTTGTAGGAAATGACATTACATATACTCAGAGAAAAGAAAAATGTATGAGAGGACAGAAATCTAAGATCAGAGAGCAAACATACCTCTAATCTACTAAAGTCTCTGTGCTTCCTAAAGTTCCAGGTTCCTATGTATGTGGACTAAAGTAACATAGGGACATTGAGTCATTCATTCACTTCTTCATATTCAATGTTTACTAAATAATAGGCTCTATTCTAGACCTTCAGGACACCGGAAGCTTGCATTCTAGAGGGAGGACATGGATAATACATATGTAAACAAATATATAAAGAAGATAATTTTAATAGTGAAAAGTGCCATGAAGACAATACAGTGGGATAACAAAAGACAGTAACTGGAGAATTTCGCTGTAGCTGCTTTAGGTGGGAGTCAGGAGAAAATCAAGGGGCCAGATCATATATGGTCTTGTAAATTATGGTAAAGGTTTGAATTTAATTCTAATTGCGATGAGCAGGCATCAAAGATTTTAGTCAGAAGAGAAATACGTTCTGATTTATAGTTCAAAAGACCATACTGAAGGTGCAGAGCATGCCAGGAAATCTCCCAAGGGAGATGAGTAAATCCAATTTCATGCTTCAAAGCCCCAAGCCACCACTGTAAGAATTTTATTTATATAAAATGGAAAGATGTGGAGATTCTTTACAAAAATATTGTCTACAGTTTAATTTCCAGTATAGGAAGTGGAAAATTTCTTCCTACTTCTACACGAAGAGAAGAACTTCTTCCAACTGTACCCTTCCACCTCCCAACTATGGGACAGGGGAAGAACTAGAGTGTAGGACTTTACTATTCCTACCTCAATTTATTGAAGGCCCTCCCACTTCAAAAATATTACATACATTATGTCTTGGAGTTCATTAAAAAAATCATTAAAAATGTGGTGGTTCTCTACTGTGAGGACAGACAGGCTTTCATTCTAACCTATGGCAAAAAACATCCTGCTGACGAGCAACAGTGGCACAGTTCCAAAAGAGGCTGCTGCTGAAGCAAAGCAGGCACTGCTGTCCTGGTATTGGTAATGACCCTCACTTGAACCCGTTTCTCTCTAGAAAATGAGAACAATCTGATTTAGAGAAAGAAAAAAATAAGACAAATATTATTGAGCACTACATACTATGTATTAAGTACTATGCCAGGTTCTTTTCTTGCTGTATCTCATTTAATCTTTACAACAACCTCAGGAAGTTCAAGGAAGGTAAGCAAGGTTCCTAGAGTTATACACAAAGCTATGACTGGATGTAGGAGTACCTATAAAAACACCAAAGGCCATTAATTTCCTAATATACCACGTTACCCCTGGAAACATCTACCCAGGTTTACAATGTAAGGTAATGTGAAAACAGAATCTGTTTTGTAGATTACTTTGTTAAAATACAAAAATTCCTGAAAGATGTGATTTTTTAAAAAGTAAAATTCCTAAATCCCTTTTACTCTTCCTATGGCTTTAAATACCATGATACTAATAACATTTTAGGTAGTAATATGAGACAGTTTGATATGTGATACAAGAGAAAAAAGAAAAATACATTGAATAATAATAATAATAATAATAATAATAATAATAATAATAAGTAGAAAGACCCAGTATCTGCCAGGAGGTAAATTCTTCTTTCATTTTAGTATTAGAAAACCTTGTTTTATCAAGCAAGATAAAAGAAATGTATCTCATTTCCAATGTGCTAGTATCAGAAGTGAATACACTGACTGGGAGTGAGCCCCCACTGCTGACACAGCAGCTCTGGTTAAAATGAACCAGTCAGGAGCAGAGCCTTGCTCATCACAACAGAAGTGAAGGTAAAATAATATAAGAGGAGCAAGCCTGGTCATTGATGGCACTACTGCACGGTACAGTCTACTTATTTGGATGACACTTGAAAATGAATTTGATTGCCTCTATTTGGCTTTCCCTTAAACAAGCTATTAAAGTCAATTAGTAGTAGTCAAGCTATATTATAAGAGGAGATATTTATCCATTACTTCCATCATGATCAAAGACAGAAATTGCAGGTGAGGGAATCGAGACCAATAGTTGATTTCACTAGTTCTTTCTTGTCTACTGAACTCTTAATGAGTAGACTTCATTTTTAAAAGCCTGTGTACTTTGGATGTTTAATCTGAAGGCTCAAGAGGGTTGATTAAGGATTGCCTTTATTCCTATAGCTAAACTCAGAAGTCATCTTGAATATAAAACAGATAAAGGTGGAGCAGCTCTGCTTGAACAGGTATGCCTTTCCAAAAGGCCTTCCCCTCAGATCCCAATCCCACACCTGTGTTCCCTAATATACCTACCAGGATCTTTAGGGTCCTGTGGGACAAAGTTTGAAAGTCACTGATTTAAACAGTGGAGGACTGTTTAGCCAGTTCAAGAATGCACACTAATGGGGACTTTCTAATTTCTTTAGTGACTGTGATGGAATGGACTCTGAATAAAAACATAATTTATATTTAGCATAAGCACTTATTTATCAAGTGACCCCAGGAAGACAATGTACTTAATCTGATCTTGTTTTTGTTCATCCATAATATGTAAATAGACTGGCTCTCTCAAAGACTGATGCTAAAAATTAAAGGGCATAATAAGGTATTATACCCTTAATACCTTATTAAGGTATTAAGTGAAAGAAGTCTAGAAAATATATGGTGTTATTATAAGGTATTATTACTGCTGAGGACAGAATCTATTTGGAGACAGAAACAAAAGTATATAATTGCAGGTATCATTAAATATACAAGGACCTAAGATTTCTTCCCAAAAAAAATGGACATGTGCTCTCTGTTAATTACTTTCCCCCTCTGTGGAATAAGGTTCCATAATCACATACTTTTTTTTTGAGAATTTTCAAAATGTTTATTGTAACAAGTAAGATTTCAACTCTTTTAACAATAATGCAAGGCACTACATTTAACACCTAGATTGCAGATATCATCATCTTTGACTTCCAGCATAATTTTTCTTTTCTCAGTCAATATTATTTTATATTAGTTTCAGGTGTACAGCATAGTAGTTAGACAATCATCTACTTTACAAAGTAGTCCCCCACTATTTCCAGTACCTACCTGGTACCATACATAATTATTACAGTATTACTGACTATATTCCCTACATTGTACTTTACATCCCCATGACTATTTTGTGGCTATCAATCTGTACTTCTTAATTCTTGCACCCTTTTCATCCAGCCCCCCAAACCCCTTCCTTTCTGGTAATTATTAGTCTGTTCTCGGTATTTATGAGTCTGTTTCTGTTTTGTTTGTTCATTTATATTATTCTTTAGATTTACATATAAGTAAAATCACACGGTATTTGTCTTTCTCTGACTTACTTCACTTAATATAATACTCTCTAAGTTCATCCATGCTGCCCCAAATGGTAAGATTTCAGTTTTCTATGGCTGAGTAATATTCCATGATATATAGGTACTATGGCTTTTTAAAATGTATTGTTATTGTTGACAGTATTACAGGTGTTCCCATTCCCCCGCATTTTGCCCACCTCCACCCAAGCTCCTGGCCCCCTTTCCCTAAGGCCATCACCACACTGTTGTCTGACTCTCTGGGTTGTACCACCATTTTTTTGTATCCATTCATTTACTGATAGGTGCTTGGGTTGCTACTGTAAATAATGCTGCAGTGAACATAAAGGTACATATATTCTTTTGAATTACTGTTTAGGGTTTCTTCAGATATATACCCAGAAGTGGAATCACTGGGTCATAGATTCCATTTTTAATTTTTTGAGGACCCTACATATTGTTTTCCACAGTGGCTGCACCAATCTGCATTCACAACAGCCCACAAGCATTCTCTTTTCTTCAAATCCTCACCAATATTTGTTTGTTGATTTATTGATGACAGCCATTCTGACGGATGTGAGGTGATATCCTACTGTGGTTTTAATTTGCATTTCTCTGATGCATAATCATATATTCATTTGACCTTTATGTTACTACACAGAAGCACATAATTTTTAAAGAATGAACACCAAAAAGCTGTATCCTGAGTTAGCTAGTGTTTTCTCTCCTTTATATTTTTATTGAATTCAGTTCTAATGAGAGTAAATTAATAATTTTTTAAATGACATCTAAAACATCCGAAACATAGTCAACAATGGACAAATTTCCAAAATTACACCACAGTGATTATCCCTAGGACTGGCACACTTACAGAGACTCTGACCTCTGCTACTACTATCCTTCTTCTTATATTCAGGGGATATTTTAAATTTGTCAACAAGGAAGAGATCTTAATAGTAGGATACATATATCTTTCAGGTTATCACCACTTCATTCCCTTTACCCACAGGATAAAAACTTTTTAGCTTGGTGTTTAAAATCTCCCATAATCAGAAACTACCTGGTTGCCAAAGGAAGGGGGAAAAGAGATGAACAAAAATATGTAAGGGTAGTCAAAGTGTACAAACTTACGAGAAAATTAAATCCTGGGGATATAATTGCATGGTGACTATAGTTAACAATACTGTATTTTATATTTGAAAATTGCTAGGAAAATGCATCCTAAAAGTTCTTATCACAAGAAAAAGAACTGTAACTCTGGGGTAATGGATGTTAACTATCACTTCACAAATTATTAGCTGTATAAAATAATGTTATATAATGATATCTCAATAAATATTTTAAATTTTTAAATATATCTTTTAAAGGTTTATTTATTTATTTAATTTTAGAGAGAGGAGAAGGGAGGGAGAAAGAGAGGGAGAGAAACATCAGTGTGGTTGTTTCTCATGTGGCCACTACTGGGGGACCTGGCCCACAACCCAGGCTTATGCCTCCGGTTGATTGGGATTCAACCGGAGACCCTTTGGTTTGCAAGCTGGCACTTAGTCCAGTGAGCCACACCAGCCAGGGCCTTAATAAATATTTGTAAATGAATAAGATAAGCTCAGATGTAAAGATAACAGGGTTACTTAGATGCAAACTTTTCTTAACATCATCAAGAAATTCATGTTATATTGTGATGCTATATTAGTGGGAGAAAAACAGAAGAAAAACAAACTTTCCATGTGTAAATATTTTATGCATGCAGGGGACAAATTAGGGAGAAGTTTATTTCAGTAGTAGTATTAACTAAACACTTGGTGATTATATGTGTGTTGTATGTGTGTGTTTGTACACACAAGGTCTGGCAGAAGTAATGCCTGCTTGAGTGTGGTTGGTAGGGTAATAATATAGGAGTAGTAATTTATAGTTTTAATTTGAACATTTCACGTAAAATGTCAATATAGTGTGCTTGAGTGTGATATTGTTATGTTACAGAATTACGTGCTTATAATTTTGTAATAAAAAAGGGGTATTACCTGTGCTGGGCCCTGTATATTTACACCCTACATTATTTTTCTTTATTACTATTTCATTAGTCTAGTATTTCTGCTTTAAAAAATACATTGTAATAAAGGAATACAAATGATTCCATGGATGCATAATTGAAATCACTAAGAGTGGCAGTTGCTGAACCTACACCCAAAAGTTAGGCTGCAAAATATTTCACTGTGTTTTGTGTATTATGTGTATTGAAATTGTGGTAATATAATTAAAATGTGACCCTGGTATAAAAGAAAATGGTTTGGGTTCTCTTTTATATGTGTTTCAGTTTTATTATGTAAATAAAATATGAAAAAATAAAGTAAAAACACATCACATATTTTTACAAATGTTTCAAAATTCTATGTTTTATAGAGTGAAACATTATAAAATGGGAGGCATTTGGGGCATATAAAATCTCCCATGTTCAGAAACTACCTGGTTGCCAGAAGGAAGAGGTAGAGAGTGAAGGTAGTCAAAAGATGCTTTTAGTTAGTAAAAGGAACCAGATTGTTATAGCCTAGAAGGCTCAAGATTATAGGCCTGTGTGGCAAATAAATGGTCAGTAAGAATTTATTAATACTTTCTATGTATCCATTGTTATGAAGTTGCCAGTATCATCTTAAGCCTCTGGCTAAAACTGACCCCATCAAGGAAATATCTATGGTGGAAATGATGCAAAACTGAGAAGTTCCCTCAGAACCCCCAGCAATTTTCCTATTGAGAAAGAACCTCCCCCATAATGTACACTATAGAATCTCACAGTTAGTACTATGACCAAAAAATGTTCCATTTCAGCATTTAAGGAAGTAGTTCATCTCTTAGTAACAGTCTTGGCAGTTTAAATAAACTGCTACCAAATGTGTAGATTCACCATTGTACTACCATAGATAATTGAAATCCATACCTATCCAAATTATACTTTAAAGAAGAAAAATAAGGAACAAAAGGAAACAATATCTGTTACAGAATGAATATTTGGTTCCCCCACTCACCTAAATTTGTACATTGAACCCTAATTCCCCAGTGTGGCTATATTTGGAGATGGAACTTCTAAGGAAGTAATTAAAGTTAAATGAGGGAATAAGGGTGGGGCCCTGCCCTGATGTGATATGATTAGTGCCCTTATAAGTAACACCAAAGCACTCTCTCCCTCCACTTTCCTTTCACCGCCCCCTAGATGCCCCCTACACTGAGGAAAGACCATTTGAGCGCACAGTGGTAGAGGCTGTCTGCAACCCAAGGACCCAAGGTCTTCTCACTAGACACCAACCTTGTTGGCACTTTGATCTTACAGTACTGTGAGAAAATGAATTTCTGCAATGATTTAAAATCACCCAGTCTGTGGTACTTTGTTATTGCAATCTGAAAAGACTAACACACTATCTCTATTATTACTAAATATTCCCTACTTCCTCATGTTTTCAGAAAATGTACTTTGTAGGATTCTACCACATGAGAAAGAGTCCACTGAACTTACAGGGAAATCAGATTAATAAAAGTGCTTGTATCATTTGCAGTCATTTACAGTCAAACTCCTCAAAAAAATTATGCTCACCCTTGAAGAGGAATGTACTCTTGTGAGCTTTCAGCCCAACAGCCACTCAGCATTGCAGCAAAATAACTAGACCTGGCGCTTAAAATGGCTCTAAAAGGAAGAGGGAGAAAAAACCCACAGGTAAACACTTACTTATTATGCAAAACATAATTTTTAATGAAACTCTCTACATTTTAAAATATAATCTATTTGGTGTTTATATTTACTGATAGCATCATTATAATAAAATTATATTTATACCTTGGCATTTTTGATAGCTTGATTATAACATTAATTCCAATGTCATCCTCATCTTTTAAATAAAAATTGAAATTATTTCCATTAAGTAAGAGAGCAATAATTATCTATAAATGGAGAAATAAAGACCAAAAGATGTTAATTTCTTGAGGAAATATTTTATCAATAAGAGACTAGAACCTTACAGGACCTGAGTTTGAGTTCAGAATTTACACTGATTATGCTTAAGAATGACTATACTTAGATTTGTGAAAATGACAGTAAAGCCATTTCTTTTGAATTTCAGTACTATCATCTAAGATAAAATATTAATTAATTCATTCTTTAATTCAATAAGTATCTACTGACTTCTATTCTGTGCTAGGCACTACTTTAGATGCTGGAAATACCAATATAAATGAGATACTACAAAGAACAGTATTATATACTAGTGGAAGATGGACTCAAAGAGTGGAGAGGGACAAGAGAAAGACACTTTTGCCAATGGCCTACTAGGTTGTCTCAGACCAATACTCCTGCTGGAAACAGCCAGGAAAATGGGCAAAATATATACCTTAAAAAAATAAAGAAATAAAGCATGATTTGAAGGCATCAAAAAGCTACTGTGAAGGCAGCTTTTGAGACAAGTTATAAGAGAGAAGACAAAGGAGATGATCCAAGTATTTGAGGTCACCTCTTTGACTGAGGTAACTTTTTCCATTGAGGCAACTGCCAAATCTGAAAGCAAAAGCAATGGTGGAGAGGCTAAAAGCTGAGCATAGCTTGTAACCCTCACAGGCGTACAGGCACACAAACTGGAATTTGGTGTCTGTCAAAGAGGGGAGGCTTTGGTGGATACCCACAATTACAGGTGGACTCTGAAGGGCTACATGTAAGGAAGAAGAATAAACGGGAAATAAACAAGCCCTTATTAGAACTGAAGTCCAGCTTTGGGTCAGTTGAATCCCTGACTGGATAAAAGTAATCTGTATCCAGCCTAACTGCTGGCCAGAAGAAAAAGGAAATCTAGTGTTCATGAAAATAACTTTACCCAGAGTATCAAACTATTTTTATAAATTTTCGGTAAAATATCTAGCAATCACCTAAATATAATCAGGAATAATAATCAACAAGTAGAAAATAAAGGAATTTCATTTACACTAGTATCTAAAAGGTCAAATAGAATAAACAAAAAAGCAACACCTCTACATTAAAAGCTATAAAACACTGTTGAGATAAATTTTACAAGACCTAAGAGAGAGCTAAACTGCACTCATGGATTTGAAGACCTGAAATTGTTAACATGTCCATTCTGCCTAAATAATTTCTAGATTTCACACAATCTTGATCAAGTTTTTTAATGGCAATTTACTTATTTATTTAGTCCTCACCCAAGGACATATTTTTATTATATTTTATTGACTATGCTATTACAGTTGTCCCAATTTTTACCCCTTTGTCCTCCTCCTCTTGGTACTCCCCTTCCTACCAGCATTAACTGCCACCGCCCTTAGTTCATGTCCATGGGTCGTAAATATAAGTTCTTTGGCTTCTCCATTTCCTACACTATTCTTAACACCCCCATGTCTATTTTGTACCTACCAATTATGTTTCTTAATCCCTGTAACCTTTTCACCCATTGTCCCTCTTCCCCCTCCGTGTGATCTCCATTTCTGTGATTCTGTTCCTGTCCTAGCCGTTCGCTCAGTTTGTTTTTTTATGATTATATGATAATCTGAAAAAGGCAAAACTATGGAGACAATAAAAAATTGCCAGAGGTCTGGGAGGGGGAAAAGTTGAAGAGTTTAATTATAATAATTTTTTAGTTGAAACTATTCTGTATGATATTGTAATGGTAGATGTAGGACAATATGCATTTATAAAAACCCATAAAACTTTATAACGCAAGGGAATCTTAGTATATACAAATGAAAACAAAAATACTAGGAGGAGGTCATGTCAAGGGAATCCCATGATGAAATGCAGCCTGTGACAAGAATCTAACTGTATTGCAAATATATAATAAAATGACCTCACTGAAGGGAATGGGACAGAAAGATGCTGGCCCAAATAACTTTGGAAATAAGTAGAGACTGTAAAAATAAAAGCAAAGGAACTATATACCACTGTACTCTAGTTGGTAAAGTTATTTCCCACACAGGTATGGATTAAGAATTCTGAAACTGCCATACATGAATACTGGAACTGAACAATTAAGTGCTACATGTTGGATAATGAAAGCCAGGTTTCTCACTGCTATAGTGGAAGATTACAGACAATCAAGGGAGTAAGACTAGGATGATCCATGTGGTAATATTTTAGTGTTGGAGACATCACTATGAACTCATGTTTAGCTTAATATAAACAGGATTCATATAGAAATATTCTTAGATATGTGCATATACGCAGACACATATATTTCCTTGCTCTGTGAGCTGAGAGGGCATAAAGGAAACAATAAGCACCCCCAGTGTCCAGATATTAGTTTCCAATACCATTAGAATAAAAGTAACCAGGGTTTATCAGACAAATGGTTAATGCTGGGACAGATGAGTCTAGACTAACTATCTTTTAGAGTTAGAAAGTAAGAAGATGCTACACACACACACACACACACACACACACACTGATGGGGGATGTAGATCTAAAACTGACTGAAAGGAGAACATCAGATAAATTCAAACTGGGAGGCACTATACAAAATACTTACCCATACTCCTTAAACCACCAAGATCATCAAAAACAAAAAAAGTCTGAGAAACTGTCATAGCCAAGAGAACCTTAAGGAGACATAGCCACTAAATGTGTTACAGTATCCTCAATGAGCTCTAATAACAGAAAAAGGGGCATTAGGCAAAAACTAAGGAAGTCTAAATAAACTATAGACTTTAGTTAATAACAATGTCTCAAAATTGGTTCATTAATTGTATCAAATGTAATATACTAAGATATGTCTTTATCTCTATTTATATCTATGTTAATAGGGGAACTGAATGTGGGGGTATATGGAAATTTTCTGTGTTCGCTTCTAAATTTTTCTGTAAACTTATAACTGTTCTAAAAATTATGTACATTAAGAAAGAATTAGGGATTCTGCTTCACCCCATGAGAGACAAGTGTGAGACTTGCCTAACCTCCATTAACGAGTAGAAACATAAATAATGACACAGAAAAAAGGCAGTATAGAACTGTTTCCTAAGGGAAGGAAAACTAATTAGGTAAATCCATAATCATGGTGCTTTTCTTCCTGAAAACAATTTTTACATCATGGCACAGGGAGGACAGAACCAGGTTGTCTTGCTGGGTTGAAAAGACAAATACAGAAGCCCTGGGAGGATGACTCAGTCAGAATTTATGGGCACATTACTACAGAACAGGGAGTTTTGAAGAAAAAGAGCTACATAAGTTAGTGGAGGGACCCCTTGAGTCTTTGTCTGGACATAATCTGAACATTCGGTGAAACTCCATGAAGCCAGGCAAAGAGTAAAAGTCCAGGGAGCTATAAGCCTGATCACCCAGGGCTGGCAGACATTCAACTTTCTGTTAGCCAGGATAGAATATTTGGGGCACTCAGAAAAGATCCCTGAAGGATCATGTCTCAGTAGAATACCTATACAACATTTAGAGCAAAAGCTACTGTTAATCCACACTAATGATGTTTAAAAAAACAAGTTTTATAAAGAGAAAGCTGATCCACAATAACTTGTCTATTAAAACAAAGTTCAACACTCTTTTAGAAGGTAACAAAATTCAAACTTAACAATATAATATTCATAACGTTATGCATATAATAAAAAATTATCAGGTATGTGTAGACATAGCAAAATATAAACTATAACTAGGAGAAAATATGTAAATAGAAACAGACCTAGAAATGAAAGATGTGATGAAATTAGCAAAGAATTTTTAAAAGCTATTATAGATATGCTTGATTTTTAAATAAGAAACATAATGAAGAGAGAAATAAAAGGTGTTGTTTAAAAACAACTTTTGAGATAAATTACACAATATCTGAAATTTTAAAATTCATACATGAACCTAAAAGAAAATTATACACTAAAGAAGAAAAGATCAGTGCACCTATGCACACAGCAATGCAAATTATCCAAATAAAACATAGGAAAAAATAAACTAAAGAAAAAAAAGAAGCTTAAGTGAGGTGTGGGACTAACATACAAATATAGTGAGAATGCCATGTGGAAAGAAGAAATAAAAAGGGGACTGCAAAAAAATTTTTTTAAACTGATGGTTGTAAATTTTTCTAATTTCTTAAAAACTACAAACCCACAGATCCAATAGCTCAATAATTCAAAAACAGGACAAACATAAAGAAAAGCATAAATGATCAAACTGCTGAAAACTCCTTACACAGAAATAAAATTAAAAAGCAGCCATAGAAAAAAGGCACATCACATACTGAGAAGCAAAGCTAGGCATGATTACAAACTTCTCATCAGAGACAATGAAAGCCAGATGACAATAAAACTAAATATTTAAGGCACTGAAAGAAATAAAAAATTGCCAACTTGCAATTTTGTATCCAGCAAAATTATCTTTCAAAAAATAAAAGCTAAATGAAGACTTCTCTAGATAAACCAGAGCTGAGAAAAGTCATTGCCACCTGTATTCCAGAAAAATTTTTAAAGGTTCTCAGGCTGAAGGAAAATTATAACAGAAATCTGGAACTGCAAAAAAGACAGAAAATGTTAGAAATGTGGGGAAATATGAAATACATTCTTTCTTACTTAAAGAAGAACTTAAAGATAATTATTTAAAAGAACAATTACAATTTATAGTGGAGTGTAAAAAATATATATAGAAATGAGGACTTCTGGCCAAGATGAAGACGTAAGTAGAAACACTGTACCTCCTCG